TTTTGCATCTTTTTCTGTCACTTTTCTATATTACAGTGTCATGTTGACATCTCGTTTGTGTCTCGTTGTGTCAGATGTGTGCGTGTGGTGTCTGCCGTGGAGCTTATCTTTCGCTTCTGCTGGTTGAAGTTGTCGATGATGACGCCGATGAACAGGTTGAGGGTGAAGAAGGAGCCGAAGATGATGAAGATGACGAAGTACAGGTACATGTACAGGTTGACCTCCTTGATCGGCTGCTCCTCGACCTGCACGGCCATTTCAGAAACACAAACCACTCACTGGTGACCAGCTCATCCCAGAACAGCCGTCTCACTCATCTCACGTACAAACTGGACCAAAAGGAGGCGCCAGTGTTTGAACTTTCACTGGCTGACGGTGACTTACGGCTCTGGAGTCCACTGCTGCGTACATGATCTCCATCCAGCCTTTGAACGTCGCCTTGAAAACAAGCAGACGAACAGTCGTGAAGCAGCGGTTTCATGAATTCGTGGCCTCATTTAAGTTCATCATTTGCTTTTGATTTAAAGAACGAAACCGCCTCCTGCAGCGTCTGAGCGTCAAACGAAAAGAGAAAGACGAGCGCGTCTGTGCTTTTACTTTCCTGCGACCTTTCGCTGCTCTTCTTACGAAACGCTGATAATCGCCTCTAAAAGTTATTTCCAAGAAACAATCCGTGAAGGAGAAGTAACTGCTCGCATTATATCTGACCTCTGGAAGGGGAAAAAAAAAAAAACGAGTCTCCTGCTCCGGAGCTCTGAAGTGCTTCTAGCGAACCCAGTGGATTTTAAAATGATTTATTCACTCATCGCTTCATTCTGAAGCACCGCAAGAACTGAATTTGTTGAGTTTCAGCCACAGAGAGGCAGCGAAACCCGCGGCTGACAGAGTTTAACGGGAATCGTTTAGAACAATTTTACTGTTATTTCACGTATTTTAATTAATTTACAGATTATACGTGGAAAAGTCACACAAAAAAAAGAACGATTAATTCACGCATTAAGCATAAAAAACAGGCTCAAACAACAGTAAACAATGTCCACTTAGAAATTCTGTATTTTTTACATTTTTTAGTTTATTTTTTAAAAACGTTTGACTGCAAAATTAAAGTTAAATAAAAAACATTAGATCATTTTTTAGCTGTAATTTCACTGATTTGTTAAATTAAATCTGTAAAATCAACTTAAACACAGCAACACGGTTTAATTTTAATAAAAGACAATTTACAAAAAAAAATCAAAAACAGTCAACGTGTAAATTAATATTTTTCACTAGAAATTATCTGTAACATAACAAAACGAGAAAAATCTGTAAAATAACAGCCTACAAAATAAAACTTTTCAATCCTTCATTTACAGAATTTTTCCTTCAAGTAAAAGCAAAACCCGGCAGAGCGATGATGCTGCTGTTGATGCAAATACAGTGAAAACAGTCATTCTGTTAATTCTATGGACACATTTGTGAATTTCTATTTATAGAAATACAGATGCTGGTTGTGGACTTTATTGTTTTTGTTTTCTTGTTGTTTTTATGCTTCATGTGTAAATAAACGCTGATTTATTATTCGCAAGTTAACGGAACCGGGCAACATCTGTGAAAAACAGTTTTAAAACGTGTTTTTTCGTTTCACGGCGTGAGTTTCTCCGACGTGCTGCTCCGACAGGAAGCGCGAGCGACTTTCTCAATAAGAGCTCGAGTCCTTTTATGGGCTTCCTGGCCGCCCACCGGGAAGAGACGCCCATAAAAGGACTTCCACGTCCGTCACTCAGACGTTGCATCTGCCTGTTGCCATGGGTTACCGCCTGCTGTTGCTACAGTCTGCCAGCGAGACGAGGAACGCCGTGGAAGACAGGTGGTGGTTTCACCTGCATGAGCGGGAAGAAGGAGCTTCTCTTCAAGTAAAGAAAATGTATTGAAAAGCGATTCATCATCAACGAAAATGGTGAATTATAATGATTATCTCATGCATATTTGTTATTTCAATTTTAAAATCTGAAATCTGGTCACTTTGTGTTTAAAACTAATTTGACATATTTTTTTAGTTTATATGGTAACCGTAGAAACGGCAACAACACGACAGAAAACTGCACATAATGTCTATAAATGTCGTTTTTTCCTGTTTTGCTGGATGTTATTCAGCACAAACGATCTTTATGTTACACATATTCAAACATTAAGCACTGAAAAGATGGTGAATATTTGGGAGGGGAAAAACGTTTTAAAACTGTTATTTGACTGATTTTCTCATTTTTAAATGACAGATAAGATCCATTTACATAAAATAAAAACAGCTTTAATTTACGTTTGCTGAAAAAAAAGTGCATCAAAAATCTGTATTTAAAAAAAGAAAAAAAGAGTTATTAGAGCGTAAAATCACCGTTTTCAGTTGATTTAAATCAACTAAAACCGTCCGTGTTTCTCAGGTAGTTTTTTGGGATTTACTTTTATTTTTTTACATTTTTTTTACTGTGCGACGCCTGACTGGAGATTTGTGAGACATCTTTGGCAAATCAGATATAAATCGGTTAAATATAATCACTACTTTACAGACGACACCGCTCGGTTTTTTTTACAGTTTATATCGTTTTCGTGAACGTTGGTGTTTTCTGTCGTCTGTACTTTTATAAATGGAAACGTTTGTGAAACGTCACCGTTCTGCTTTATTTCCTCTCATTTTACTTGTTTCCCCGCTATATCTATATTTTTTTACAGATTTTTCCGGCACACTTGCTGCCATATTTTATTTATTTATTATTATTTATTTATTTATTTATTTATTATTTAATTATTATTATTATAGTTTTGCTGTATTTCCTGTTGTTTTCTCTGTATTTCATCTTTTTTATCCCCACTACAGATACAGATTTTTACAGATTTTAACAGATTTTAACAGATTTTTACAGACTTTAACAGATTTTTGCAGATTTTCACCTGATTTGTTTTATTTTTCTTTTGCTTCTCTTACGGTTGGGATTTCTTGTCATTTCTACAGCTTTCTGAGCACATTCCTTGGTTCCTAATCAACGTTTTCTGGCGTCTTTGCCGCCACATTTTCACCGTTTGCGTTTTATTTTCTTTTTTCTTTCACGATGAGGCTGAACCTGGAGGATTCGGGCTCCGGCTCGGGAAGCTCGTCCCGCCTCGCTGTTTTTTTGTTGTTTTTTTTGTTTTTTTGCGGTGTGGAGTTATTTCCAGATGCTTCTGGAACGGTTGCCCCGCCAACTGTTGCCGCGCCGACCAGCCAAACAGAGATGTGCTGAGCGACTCGTTGCCAAGGCGACCGCATCCCCGCTACTCTTAAGTTGACCCACGGCTTGTTTTTTTTCTCTCTCCCTCCCTCTTTATCTTCCTCCTCCTTCGCCGCTGCGTCTTGATTTCCGGTTGCTGTTTGAACCCTAATTTTCCGGCTCCACATGCACTTTTCCTCGCCGCCGCTGCCGCCGCCACCTCGTTTCCCTCCCACTTGGCTGGAGTCGCTCTAAAAATAAAAACCTCTCAGACGCTGATTGATTGGAGGCTCTCAGGACTCCCGCGGTGGGCGAAGGAAGGAGGAAGGAGCGAAGGCGGGACGGAGGCGACGGAGGAGCGGCTGCAGCCGGCGTCGTTCGGGGAGGAAAAATGAAACGACGCAGAAACAAAAGAGGAAAAAATAAAGAAGTCTGCGAAGGAAGGAAGGAAGACGTGGCAGGACTGCTGCTCTCATCTGATTCTAGTTTCTGGTTTCTTTCTTTTCCCGTCCAGGTGTGTTTCTGTGGATCTCATCTTCACAGAAACCATCCAATCCTGTCACAGTCGACTCAGATTTAAATGCGGTCAGCGTCCAAACTAAGAAGTTGTTTGTGTTTTTACTGCTTGTCTCTAATTTAATAAAACATCCAAACTTTCACCAGCTGACCGCTGAAGACGTGTTTTGTTGATGCGTATTGATTTATTTCTTTCTTTTTGTTTTGCTGCAGAAATGTGATTTTTTTTCAAGCTCCTCTGACTTTTTCTTTCCTCCCTTTTCCTGCGTAACGTTCTCTGATTTCCCTCCACGCTGCTCGAGCTGAGCGTCGTTCATGTGAACCGTGGGAACATGTCAGCGGTCTGACCGGCAGCGCGACGCTCAGCTTTTCATCCTGCGGTTATTGTTTCTCGAAGCTTTCTCGTCTTAATTTCTGTTCGTATCACCGTGTTTTCCTCCTGAACCTGAAAGCCGACAGAGGAGGACGGGAGAAAAAAGAAAAGAGTCTTACACAACAAACGCAGACAAAGAGAGCAGACGAGTGGAAAAGTCAAAGCGAGAGCGACGGAGGAAACAGCGTGGGAGGGAAATTAAGGCGGCAAATGGACGGAAGAGAGAGCGCGGCGGAAAAGTCAACCTCCTACGATCCGCCGAGGCTCCGGCTTGTTCTGACGCTGCTTCTTCACCTGCAGCTCTTTGTTTCCTACAGCGACACATTTTTCTATTTGTAATCCCGCTGCTTCGTACCGGACGCTCGAAAACGCACGATGGGACGGAAACGCTCCGATAGAGGCGACGAAGAAAACGTCTGAGAGCAGTTTGTTGGTCATCAGAACATGTTCGTAGGTGAATCGCAGCTTGCTTGAGCTCCTTGAAGACGCTTCATCCAAAAGGCTTCGTCAGCTCTGACCGGCTAGTTCCAGATGCTGATGTCCTGAAGGAGCCACGAACACCTGAGTTTGGGTTTCAGCTGGGACAGGACTCAGCGGTCCACCTGCTTCTTCAGGACAAAGGACTCTGATGTGAAGACAACAAGATGTTGTCCTGCAGGGAGGACAGACGGTCTGAGAGACCATCCCTCAGCAGAGGTGGAGGTCTGAGGCATCACCTCTCACCTGAAGATGAACCCACATCCACACCGAGCCACAGCAGACCCTAACGAACCCCACTGTGTCAGGGGGAGCGCTAGCGACTCACATAACGAGGGGGAGGAGCTACAAACCCCCAGTTGAAACTCAGGTGTTAGTGGCTCCTGAAGGATATCTAGTCAGTCGGAGCTGATGAAGCTTCTGGATGAGAGGTGGAACGTCTTCAAGGAACTCAAGCAGGTCCAGTTGATTAAACTACGAGGATAACCTGGAGGACTGTAGGAAAAAGTCTGAATCTACATTTTGACCGTCAGAAGAACACTAGCAGTGGAAATAATGCATGCATCCCAGTCAGCTTTAGCCTTAGCTTGTCCTCCTGCTCGACCCTCGCGCTGCTCCGTCTCACCACTTGCAGCAGAGCCAGGTACCCGGCGCCCACGTTGTCGAAGTTGACCTTGACCTTGCTCCAGTAGAACAGCGAGGTGTCGTTGAACGCCTCGCACTCGCTCTTGTTGTTGATGAAGGAGGCGTCGTAGATGTGGCCGGTGCGGTTGACGCAGCGGCCGAACTTGCCGGCGAACAGGTTGACGCCCATGATGCTGAAGATGAGCCAGAAGATGAGGCAGACCAGCAGCACGTTCATGATGGAGGGGATGGCCCCGATCAGGGCGTTCACCACCACCTGCGGCACAAACACACCTCTTACAGGACGGAGGAGGAAACGCCGTCGCTCAGGGCCCGACAGGTCTAAGCGCTTCTACAAAAGCAGCAGGAAGCCGTGAGCTCAGGAGCCTGAACCCCAAACACGTTACAAACATCCGATTTACTGATTTAGACAAAACCTTTAAGCCAATTATTCATCTTTGAAAGTCATACTAACTGAAAACGTACACCGTTCATCAGCCAGAAGCTACAAAAACAGAACAAATGGTGGGATGTTCAGCTTTCTGACCGTCCTTGAATGCACCATGTGTGACTTTAACCAAACTTATACTTAAAACAAGCCAGAACTAAAGCATCTGCAGCGGATTCTTTTGGTTATTAGTAAATAGATTAATATGATGCATGCGTGCAAATTAAAAAATCTAAAGGTTTTTTTATAGTGATATATATATATATTTTTACACATGCATATTTTTTAAAAACACATAAATCTTTTCTGCAGATGCACTTTTTTTTCTCCTCATGCAAACATAAACATGCAGTTGCTGGTGTTTTGGTTTTTATAAATAAAACTATTCATGCTTCGATATTTTTAATATTATTATTATCTTTGCATCCTTATCTTTATAAATATGAACCTTTTATAGACGCACACGTGTTTTACTGACAAACATATTAACTACTCATGCAAACATTTATTTTAAAATATGAGACGTTTCTGCACACATTGTTTTGTTTTTACAAATGATTCGTGCTCATAACTAGAATATATATCGATCACGTGCACTTTTAAATGTGTTCATCTTTAATCCACACATTGTTTAACCTGCAGAACTATTTACTACGCAAACAAGTATATTTAAAAAAATAAAAATCACGTCATGTTCACTCTTTTCTATCAACAAAAATATTTACTACGAATGTAAATATATTCATTTTAAATCTGAACATTTTCTACGCACGCATGTTTTTATTTTTAATGAAGAAAATCTTTGCTTATATTTTATGAACGTATTTTACACGCAGGCGCACACTTTTCAAAACTCTATCAATCTTTAACTCTCTTTTCTAAACCTGTTTTCTAAGAATGTGAATCATTAGAAACTCGTCGTGGACCTGCAGGTTTACAGAACACATCAGGCTTTAACTATCTCGCCCAGTTTCTACTGAGGATCTACAAACAAAGGCTGCTTTAAAATAATGAATAAAACTAGAAACGAGGAACACGAGGCTCGTTTGTTAGCTCTGCTGCGGTGCGTCCTGACTGCGACGTGTTTTCCTCCTCGCCAGCACCCACAATGCATCTCTTCCACCCAATTAGCACAGCAGCTAATCCCATTAGCCGAAGACAAAGACGACGAGGACCAGAGTCAGAGTTTTTTTTCTTTTCCCAGCATGCAACAGGGCTCCAGCGCGGAGCAGAGTCGGCGTCCTGCAGACCTCAGCGGTCGACTCGTTTCCTGTTTCGTGAGCTTTTACCGTCAAATAACGACAGCCGTCTGCTGTTTGGACGCAGAGTCAGCGTCAAAAAGCAGGAAGATGACGAGTTTCATCCGCCGTCGTACCGCTAGTTTGTAGTTTTACGTACAGAGACGCCAACAAGAAGCAAAAACCTGTTCAACGAGTGAATTATTGTCCATTAAAAGCCAGAACATGTTGAGCTGCTGCAGGGAGCCGACTCTCAGTAATACTGCTGATGGGTTCAAATACTGGTGCAGAAACCCTTTGAGGAGGAACAAACGGATGAGATGAAGGAATCAGAGTTAGACAAGGCGAGGAAATGAAACGTTGGAGCAGAAAACGCTGTAAAGAAAAGAAAACAGAGTTCAGGTGATTCAGTTCAGACGCACCTGGACACCAGATCAGTTCAGCCTCTGAAGACCAGAGCTCTCGTCTGATCTGCTTTTTTTGTTTTTTATCAAATATAAAATCAAAAAAACAAACAGTAGTGATAATAATTTGACGCCTCAGAACGTTTTGTTGTTTTACTCCATACACATACATCCTGACTTTATAAAAAACAATAATTTAAGAAGGAACACGATTTGAAACTGTTGTCGTGCACTTTTGAAGACACCTGGTGGATAAACCCAGCGCTCCCAAACGAGACGAGGACTCTGATTGAGGGTTGTAGTCGCATGGCGTGAACCCGCGGGTGCCCAGGTGAGTCGGTCCAGGTAATACTGACTCTTACCCTCATGCCTTCAAATCTGGAGAGAGCTCTGAGGGGCCGCAGGGCTCGGAGCGTCCGGAGCGACTTGATGGCTGCAAAGTCGGAGTAACCCAGAGTGTTGGCAACCAAACTGACCAACGACACCTGCAGGACAAAGACGAGACGGAAAGACAGAAGGAGACGCGGGGCGGTTAGGTTCTGTCCAGGGTTAGGGAGCACCGGGAGGAACCTGCAGGAGGAGGAGAAGAAGAACCTGTGGAACAAAAAGGGTGGTCGCTGAGGTGAAGCTGCAGGCAGACGAGGAAACGTCGACGAGCCGCTCTGGGAAGAAGAAAGAAGCCGGTGTCAGAGCAGAGTCGATCCGACAGACGGTCCAGGACGGTTTATAGGATCAGAGTGAAGAGTTCCTCCTCAGAACACCTGGTTCTGTTTCTAGAGGAGCTTCATGCGGTGCAGCAGAGTTCTACCTTCAGACTGTGATATTCCAGAGTTGTTTGTTTAACGAAGGATATTTAATGTGTGAAGACATGAAATCAACTTACGGATAATCAGGACAGCAGCGACTCGATGATCTGACGCTAAACGTAAAACCTTCTGCTACGTCGGACTGTCCAGACGGAGGTCCAGATACGAGGAGGGCTTGATGCTGGAAGGCTCATTAGTTGGTAATTATTGTTCATTATTGTTATAATAACCAGTGTGTTGTTAGAACATGACGCATCGCTGGACTTCAGCCTGACTGACCGGTGCTCTGGTGTCAGACATCAGGCTGAAGTGACCCAGATCAGATTTCTGTTTCTCCTATGTGACCTGGATCTGGTCTGTTCATGACAGTCTGAACAACACAGATCCAGTTAATGATGAATATCAGAACATTCTGTGCGGTCGGGGGACACTTCCACCCCGGGGCAGCGCTCTGACGGGGTGGAAGTGTCCAGAACACACAGGCAGTACTTGGCTGCTGATGCTAGTTTAGTTAGCGCTCACACTTCTGTTTCCTCCATCGGTGGCGGCGGGGGAGTGGCAGATACGCTCCACCGTTACCATCCATGTTTACTTCCATAAACACTGAGCACGCTCGCTGCGTGTGACGTCGTCGTGTCCTCTTCTGCGCATGCGGGACACTTTTGGCTCGTATGAAGTTCACACAGCAGATCACATACAAGTCGCATTGAACTGGAAACGTGAAGGAAGTCACAAAGAAATCCTCATTGAGCATCAAGTCCTGCAGTGTGAACGTAGCCAATCTGTGGGATTGTTCAGTCAGATAATACGCCGTCATCCTGATTGGTGACATTAAATGTCATGTCGGAGTCACAATCCAAGGCTGTCGCTATGTTAAGGCTGTTTTTATGGGTTCTGTTGGTTTTTCCTAAAAACCTGTTGGACAGCAGGTTTAGGATCGTTAAGGGTCGATCATCGGGTCACGACTGGACTTCCTTTGCTCTGGTCGTTCCACATCTTTTATCACTTTTCAACTTTTTTTGCTCAACTTGTGTCACGTTTTGTTGTTTTACGTATTTTTTGGTGTCGCACTTTGGTCCCGTTGACACGTTCAACGTCTGGACCCTCTGGACATCCTCACAGTCTGAAGGCAGAACTCTGGCTGGTTCTACAGTCGGTTACGTACATTCGGTCACATGAAGCCTGAAACGGTGAATCTGGAGGAACAACGTTCTCTAGTTTTGGCGTCCTGAACAGTCGGAACCATCTCGTCTGGTCAGAACCAGCAGCAGCAGCGTCTCTAAGCCCTCTAAAGCCCCGCATGTTCTCCAGCGCCGGGCCGGTTCTTACCCTGATGCCGGCGAAGCGGGACGCGGCCCGGAGAGGACGCAGGGCCCTGAGCGTCCGCAGAACCCGCATGGTGGAGATCTGGTCCACCGCGAAGAACTGAGCCAGCTGACCCACAACTGAGATCTACGGGGAGGTTAGAGCCGGTGACCCCCACAGAACCAGACAGAACCTACGCTAACAAGACGGCTCCAGTCTGACGTTCTTGGTGCTCAACACAACTTTCAACATCAGCAAATGTTCTCCAGATGTTCTCCAGAATGGTTCCACAACGTGACGTGATATATTAACGAAGGTGACGTTTTGGGCTTCGTGACGAGAGAACGTTCTATTAGACATTCTCTCAATGTTCCACGATAACAAAGGAACAACACATTAAAGGAATATTAAAAAGTAACAATGTTCTAATCCAGACTTCAAATGACGGAACGTTCTTTATAAGAACTAAACGAAGGTGGAACATTCTTACAGACGTCTTCAGAGAACATTCTGGGAACTGAAAGTAAACCTTCGTTGAAAACATTTGTAGCAGTTTGCAGAACATTCTCAGAACATTTTTGGAACACAAAATGATTCCAGTATTTATGTCAGCCAGCTTGCGTCGATGCGTTTCCTAAAGTGACAGAACGTTCTTTATATGTTCCACAAAGTTACATGAACGTCTTCAGAGAACTAAAACTTTTCACTGAAAACATTCGTAGCAGTTTGCAGAACCTTCTCAGAATGTTTTTGGGTCATAAAAATGACCCCGCCTCTTGTTTCCGCCAGCTTGCGTTGATGCAATTCTGCCCCCTGGTGGCCGGAAAAACAAAAACAAAGACCCAGAACCGGACCGGTCTTCTTCCACCGCGCTGCTCATGAACCTCTGGTGTCGACCCGTGACTCAACACTTCCTGTCTTCGGGCCGCTGCAGTCAAAGCGTCACAACACCCAGCGTGACTTATGAGACGCGGCGAGGCAGCCGGTGTGTCGATTTCCGACTCGGCGCTGCGTGTGCGCGCTGCGCGTCGTGATCCCGCCCCGAGGGCCGAGCGGCGCCGGCGTCCGGACGCGCTGGGCTCGGTGTGTGTCTGTGTGGAGGTCAGGAGGCCGGCGCTGACTGTCTGGCCGCCGGCTGGTTGAACTTCTCTCTGCTCCATGTCGCTGCGTCCTCTTACTCACGCGGCGGTGAAACGGCCACGTTCGGGGCAAACAGAGTGTGCAGCCCGACGCAGCCTCAGAAACACACAACGCGTGGCACATCCAGCGCCACCGGACTGCGTCCAGCTTCTGATCCGGGTCGCACAAATGTGTACCCACAGATTCCTTCGCTGTGTTTCAGACGACCTGCTGAACATGTAGGGACGGACGTCCTGGGCTCCTTTGTGTCTCTCTGTCCTCGTTTTGTCTCGTTTTGTCTCGTTTTGTCTCGTTTTGTCTCATTTTGTCTCATTTTATCTCATTTTGTGGTCGTTTTGTTTCGTTTTATCTCATTTTGTGGTCGTTTTGTCTCATTTTGTGGTAGTTTTGTCTC